TCAATAGTATAAAAGGTGTGGCACACAGATCTAGAAAGAACAAAAAAATCTTTTGCATGAGACTCGTTTTGGAAAGGAAAATTAATAATTTGAAACAACTTTCTAAAAATACCCTTATTTTACACAAACTATTTATGATATCATATTTAATAATTTTATTTATATTTTAATTTAATATAATTTCATTAAAGATTTGTGTTAAATGAGTGTACTGTTAAAAAGTCGTGTCAAACTATCATTTCCTTTTGGAGGAGTTTTTCTTTTAGTTTCTGGCAGTGTCTCTTAAAAATCAAGATGAAATAATTTAATATGGCAACATTGTTTTTTTAAACAAGATGGTATAATTTACTTTTAATATTAGGAAAGAGGTTAGCTTTTTTAAAATTTAGATGTCATTGCTTACGTAGAATGAAAAATAAAACAGTTCTTTAATTAAGATTTAAGTTTATTGTAATTTTAATTACTTTTAATTAAATTTCTGTTAATATTTTTAATTAATTTTTATTGTCAATTAAGATGTTATAATATCATTTTTATAAAGATAATTAATTAGTGCATAAATATTTTTTATTTTGATCTTGAGATGATAAAATTAAATGGTTATATTATCCATTTAACATTAAATATCCAATTAAAAAATATAAAAGTTTTAAACATTTGAAAAAGCATTAATGAAAACTTCATTTATACTTAAATTTAAAATTTAATTAACTTGTTTATTTTATTTTCTATATGAAATATAAAAATTATACAAACTAAATGCAGAAAATATAGTATTAGAGTTATAGATGTTTTAAAATAATGATATCGGGTATTTTAAAGCTAAAATAATTTAATAATATAAATAAAATTTTAAAAACTCGTTTCATTGTCTAAAACACTCGTCATTTCTCTAAAATTATTTCTTTAGCTCTTTTTTTCTTCTCTTTACAACTTTTGACTCCTACATCATCTGTTTGACAAAGTGTCTAACCGATCACATTGGTGAATCTTTCCTTCTCATTCGATCAGTTTTCCTTGTAGAGCAAGTAAGTTTATGTTTCTTTTTTCTTTAATTATTCGGTCAAGGCTATGTGTAGGAGTTCCTTCGCATGTGTCAATTGAGTTTCTTTTCTAGTTCTTCATTGATCAGAGGTCCTAAGGACTTGCTCTGATCATGTTTCTATTATTTGTAGGTTTTTTTAGAGTTTCTTGAGCTTGAAGCAATGGTCTTGCATATATATAGCTTGATAGCGTTTTTGTTAAGGTAAGGAAAGTTAGTGATATCTCTTTAATGTTATTTTAATTTATATGTATGATTGATTAATGTTGTTAGGTTATATTGAACATGGTTGAATTTGGAATACCTTCCTTAGTATAAATTATGATTTGAACTATTTTAAATAGTTAATTAATGCTTAATGTTGTGATTGATGTATTTAGACTTCGATGAATCTATTTGGACTTGATCTTGGTTGTGAATTTCTGTAGTTGTGAAGTTGGTGATGTTGTTTTGGTTGAAATATTGAGAAGGAAGGGTTAGGCTAGGTTATAGGTCAATTTTGGTCTAAAATGGAGATTTTAGTAGGTAAATTTTAGAAATAATGGTCTAAATGGAGAAATGATGATTTAGGCTCTGTTGTATGGTCATTAAGACTTGTTTGGGTGATGAATTAGCAGAAAAATGATTTATAAATGTATGATATACAATAGGTTGTGTTTGGAATGACTTTTAGGTGCATTTTAGAGGTTTTGAGTACTGAGTTTTTGAAGTAGAAGGTCTAAGGAAAAGTGGAGGGTTTGAGGTCTGTTTTTGGGTTCATTTTGGACTTGTTTAAACTTTTAAGTTGCTTAGTTATGAGTTAAAATTGGTAGAATTGATTTATGGTCTATAAAGTAATGTTTTAGTTGATTTTGAGTTGGAAGTTCTGGATAAAATGAGTTAAACTTGGTTTGTGTTGGATTCTATATACACTTGGATAGGTCAATTGAGGCTTAGGATAACAAATAAAAGTGGTAGAAGTTGGTAGAAGTATCTAGGATAGGACATGTTAGATGTAAGGGTACAAATTCTACAAAATTTGTGTTATGTAGAATTATGCAGAGTGGTTGGACAAGCAAGTGGTTCACTTGGTGAGTATATGGGTATTTTGGGAGTGGGTTCTAGGAGCTAGGCGAGCCTGCTCACTAGGCTTGAGAAATTCTCTGTTTGAGCTCTCGTTGGGCGACTAGCTTTGCTCGTTGGGGGGAGTCGATGCTCGTTGGGCTCTAGGATTAAGGCGTTGGGCGAATAGGTTTACGCAATTTTGATTGTTTTGCACTCTTTCCTCTTCTATGTTGGATATAAAGGGTGTGATGATGAATTTTATGCTGAGTAACATAGCTTGAACTATATGATGGTATGGAAAATGTGATTGAATTCAAGTATGGTTTGGAAAGAATTTCTAGGATGAAATTCTTAGTGGTGGTTTCATGTAATTAATGTAGGGACTCAGTCTTGGAAGTTATCCTGATGCTCCAATAATCGCTCTATTTCATATAGAGAAGGAGATTATGTGGTGAGGAGTAGTAGGAGGTCTTAGTCTATGATCTAGTGTTCTTTATCCATAAGTTATAGACGGATTAACCTTGCGTGGTAGCTTGGGGGGAGGGGTAGTTGTTCCACTCCACCACTGCAAATGCAAAAACTTGTCATAGTTTAACATCAATATATACATCTATCTGGATGATCTTATCTAGGTCAATGACATGATTAAGATGATTGGTTTGCTTTGTGAGAAATATGATGTATAATGAAAATCTTAATATGCTAAGTATGTTTCTTTCTACATTAACTTACCATATTTGTATGTTTTTGTGTTTGTTTATTTGTGTAAAGAATAACTCTGGTTATCAAATAAGTGAACAACCGGGAGCAATTTACTTACGATACTTAGTCGACATTCAAAAAAAGTATCTAATGATTTATGAATTCAATACATCCTGTTTAGTAGAAAGACGTATATTCCTTGCTAATTATCAGACAATTACTTATTCACAAACCTTGTGGGGGGCTAATAGTTTTCATTTCCCATCTCATGGAAAACCCTTTTCGCTCCGCTTAGCCCTACCTCCCCCTAGTAGGGGTATTTTAGTGATAGGTTCTATAGGAACTGGACGATCCTATTTGGTCAAATACTTAGCGACAAACTCCTATGTTCCTTTCATTACAGTATTTCTGAACAAGTTCCTGGATAACAAGCCTAAGGGTTTTCTTATTGATGATAGTGACGATATTGATGATAGTGACGATATTGATGATAGTGACGATATTGATGATAGTGACGATAGTGACGATATCGACCGTGACCTTGATATGGAGCTGGAGCTTCTAACTATGATGAATACGCTAACTATGGATATGATGCCAGAAATAGACCGATTTTCTATTACCTTTCACTTCGAATTAGCAAAAGCAATGTCTCCTTGCATAATATGGATTCCTAACATTCATGATCTGGATGTGAATGAGTCGAATTACTTATCCCTCGGTCTTTTAGTGAACTATCTCTCCAGGGATTGTGAAAGATGTTCCACTAGAAATATTCTTGTTATTGCTTCGACTCATATTCCCCAAAAAGTAGATCCAGCTCTAATAGCTCCGAATAAATTCAATACATGCATTAAGATACGAAGGCTTCTTATTCCACAACAACGAAAACACTTTTTCACTCTTTCATATACTAGGGGATTTCACTTGGAAAAGAAAATGTCCCATACTAATGGATTCGGGTCCACAACGATGGGTTCAAATGTACGAGATCTTGTAGCACTTAACAATGAGGCCCTATCGATTAGTATTATACAAAAAAAATCCATCATAGACACTAATATAATTAGTTCTGTTCTTCATAGACAAACTTGGGATTTCCGATCTCAGGTAAGATCGGTTCAGGATCATGGGATCCTTTTCTATCAGATAGGAAGGGCTATTTCACAAAATGTACTTCTAAGTAATTGCTCCATAGATCCTATATCTATCTATATGAAGAAGAAATCATGTGACGGGGGGGATTCTTATTTGTACAAATGGTACTTCGAACTTGGAACGAGTATGAAGAAATTAACGATACTTCTTTACCTTTTGAGTTGTTCTGCCGGATCGGTCGCTCAAGACCTTTGGTCTCTACTCGGACCTGATGAAAAAAATGGGATCACATCTTATGGACTCGTTGAGAAGAATTCTGATCTAGTTCATGGCCTATTAGAAGTAGAAGGCGCTCTGGTGGGATCCTCACGTACAGAAAAAGATTGCAGTCAGTTTGATAAGGATCGAGTGACATTGCTTCTTCGGTCCGAACCAAGGAATCCCTTAAATAGGATTCAAAATGGATCTTATTNGGAAAACAAAGGGTGCTTCCGGTTCTGTCGGTGCTTGAAACAATTTTGTCTTCTCCATATTACTATATCTCTAGAGTCAATAATTTTATATGAGGAACTACTGAACTCAATCACTTGCTGCCGTTACTCTTCAGTTTTCTGTTGAGGTCTATCCTGTAGAGGTACTCCAATTGGATCAGTGATCGATTTCTAGGTTTCGCCGTAAACCTAGTTGGTTACTTCCAATTACGTAAATCAATAGTTCAAACCGCACTCAAAGGTAGGGCATTTCCCATTTTTATAGGAACTTCTGTACCAGAAACAATGGTATCTCCAATTATAGCCCCTCTGGGGTGTAAATATATTTTTTCTCACCATCCCCATAGTGTATGAGACAAATGGATGCATTTCGATTAGGGTCATATTCTATGGTTACGATTCTACCATATATGTTTTTTTCATTCCGTCGAAAATCAATTTGACGGTATAGACGCTTATGACCTCCCCCTCTATGCCCTGCGGTAATTATTCCTCTGGCATTACGACCTTTACCACAACGATGCTGTCCATAGATCAAATGATTTCGTGGATTGGATTTTACTTGACGACTGTCTACGGTTCCATTGCGTGTGCTTGGGGTAGAAGTTTTGTATAAATGTATCGCCATGCTATTAAGTATTTTGATTTAAGTTCTTTTCTTTCTAAGAGGTGGAATAGAATAACCCGGTTGAAGCGTAATGATCATACGTCTGTAATGCATTGTATGTCCCATAATAGGTCGTACTCTTCTACCCTTTACCGGGAGTCGATGACTATTCATAGCTATTACTTTGACATCAAAGAAGAGTTCGACCCAATGCTTTATTTCTGTCCTAGTTGATCCCGATTCGACATTAAAAGTATATTGATTTTTCCCCAATAACCGAATACTTTTGTCTGTAATACTGCATATTTTATTCCATTCATAAATCTATTTTCTTCCCTATGAGTTCTAGTCTCAATTAAAATACTAGTTTTGACTGTTCATATGTTATGATTTGAATATACCACATCAATTCGTTATGTATGGATGATGAGATTCCATTGATACAGAGCCACTCGTTCTTTTTTCTCTGACAGATGGTCAGAACTTCATCTGGGTTCGAATCCTACTGATAGGTCTACTAGAGATCAGAAATTGTTGAAAAAAGAACAAAAGAAACATCTTGCTTTTTCCAGGCGATCGGAAAAGAAAGAAATAGTGAATTTATTCAAGATAATTATGTACTTACAAAATACCGTCTCAATTCATCCTATTTCATCCTATCGAGGATGTGATATGGTTCCAAAGGGTGAACTGGACAGTTCCAATAAGATTTCATTCTTGAACAAAAATCCGATAGACTTTTTGGAGGGAGGGTCCCATTGGCGTGCATCCAGTAGGAATTGAACCTACGAATTCGCCAATTATGAGTTGGGCGCTTTAACCATTCAGCCATGGATGCTTAGCGGGAATCCTCGTACATGGTGAATAACCAAATTCCAATTGAAGTGAAATCTTTCGGATAAATCAATGCAATTAGGAGGATTCGATGAAAGGACATCAATTCAAATCCTGGATTTTCGAATTGAGAGAGATATTGAGAGAAATCAAGAATTCTCGCTATTTCTTAGATTCATGGACCCAATTAAATTCAGCGGGATTTTTCATTCATATTTTTTTCCATCAAGAGAGTTTTATAAAACTCTTGGACTCCCGAATTTGGAGTATCCTACTTTCACGCAATTCACAGGGTTCAACAAGCAATCGATATTTCACGATCAAGTATGTAGTACTCTTTGTAGTAGCGGTCCTTATATATCGTATTAACAATCGAAAAATGGTCGAAAGAAAAAATCCCTATTTGACAAGGCTTCTTCCTATACCTATGAATTCCATTGGACCCAAAAATGATACATTGGAAGAATCATCTGAGTCTTCCAATATCAATAGGTTGATTGTTCCGCTCCTGTATCTTCCAAAAGGAAAAAAGATCTCTGAGAGTTCTTTCCTGGATCCGAAAGAGAGTACTCGGGTTCTCCCAATAACTAAAAAGTATATCATGCCTGAATTTAACTGGGGTTCGCGGTGGTGGAGGAACTGGATAGGAAAAAAGAGCGATTCTAGTTGTAAGATATCTAATGAAACCATCGCTGGAATTGAGATCTCATTCAAGCGAAAGATATCAAATATCTGGAGTTCCTTTTTGTATATTATATGGATGATCCGATCCGTAAGGACCATGATTGGGAATTTTTTGATCGTCTTTCCCCGAGAAAGAGGCGAAACATAATCAACTTGAATTCGGGACAGCTATTCGAAATCTTAGTGAAAGACTGGATTTATTATCTCATGTTTGCTTTTCGTGAAAAAATACCAAAGGAAGTGGAGGGTTTCTTCAAACAACAAGGGACTGGGTCAATTATTCAATCAAATGATATTGAGCATGTTTCGCATCTCTTCTTGAGAAACAAGCGGGCTATTTCTTTGCAAAATTGTGCTCAATTTCATATGTGGCAATTCCGTCAAGATCTCTTCGTTAGTTGGGGGAAGAGTCCGCACGAATCGGATTTTTTGAGGAACATGTCACGAGAGAATTGGATTTGGTTAGACAATGTGTGGTTGGGAAACAAGGATCGGTTTTTTAGCAAGGTACGGAATGTATCATCAAATCTTCAATATGATTCCACGAGATCTAGTTTCATTCAAGTAACGGATTCTAGCCAATTGAAAGGATCTTCTGATCAATCCAAGGATTCTTTCGATTCCATTAGGAATGAGGATTCGAAATATCACACATTGATCAATCAAAGAGAGATTCAACAACTAAAAGAAAGATCGATTCTTTGTTGGGATCCTTCCTTTCTTCAAACGGAACGAACAGAGATAGAATCAGAGCGATTCCTTAAAATCCTTTCTGGATATTCCTCAATGTGCCGACTATTCATGGAACGTGAGAAGCAGATGAATAATCATCTGCTTCCGGAAGAAATCGAAGAATTTCTTGGGAATCCTGCAAGAGCCACTCGTTCTTTTTTCTCTGACAGATGGTCAGAACTTCATCTGGGTTCGAATCCTACTGATAGGTCTACTAGAGATCAGAAATTGTTGAAAAAAGAACAAAAGAAACATCTTGCTTTTTCCAGGCGATCGGAAAAGAAAGAAATAGTGAATTTATTCAAGATAATTATGTACTTACAAAATACCGTCTCAATTCATCCTATTTCATCCTATCGAGGATGTGATATGGTTCCAAAGGGTGAACTGGACAGTTCCAATAAGATTTCATTCTTGAACAAAAATCCATTTGGGGTTTATTTCATCTATTCCATGACCGGAACAGGGGGAGATACACGTTACACCACGATTTTGAATCAGAAGATATATTTCAAGAAATGGCAGATCTATTCACTCTATCAATAACCGAGCCGGATCTGGTGTATCATAAGGAATTTTATTTTTCTATGGATTCCTCCGGATTGGATCAAAAACATTTCTTGAATGAGTTATTGAACTCCAGGGATGAATCGAAAAAGCACTCTTTATTGGTTCTACCTCCTCTTTTTTATGAAGAGAATGAATCTTTTTATCGAAGGATCATAAAAAAATGGGTCCAGACCTCTTGCGGAAATAATGTGGAAGATCCAAAACCTAAAATAGTTGTATTTGCTAGCAACAACATAATGGAGGCAGTCAATCAATATAGATTGATCCGAAATCTGATTCAAATCCAATATAGCACCCATGGTTACATAAGAAATGTATTGAATCGATTCAATTGCAACTTCGAATATGGAATTCAAAGGTATCAAATAGGAAATGATACTCTGAATCATCGAACTAGAATGAAATACACGATCAACCAACATTTATCAAATTTGAAAAAGAGTCAGAAGAAATGGTTCGATCCTCTTATTTTGATTTCTCGAACGGAGAGATCTATGAATTGGGATCCTAATGTATATAGATACAAATGGTCCAATGGGAGCAAGAATTTCCAGGAACATTTGGACTATTTCATTTCTGAGCAGAATAGCCGTTTTCAAGTAGTGTTCGATCGATTACATATTAATCAATATTCGATTGATTGGTCTGAGGTTATCGACAAAAAAGATTTGTCTAAGTCACTTTGTTTATTTTTGTCCAAGTTACTTCTTTTTTTGCCCAAGTTTCTTCTCTTTTGTCTAACTCACTTCCTTCTTTTTTCTTTGTGAGTTTTGGGGGTATCCCCATTCATAGGTCCGAGATCCACATCTATGAATTGAAAGGTCCGAATGATCCACTCTGTAATCAGTTATTAGAATCAATAGGTCTTCAAATCTTTCATTTGAAAAAAAGGAAACCCTTCTTATTGGATGACCAAGATACTTCCCAAAAATCGAAATTCTTGATCAATGGAGGAACAATATCACCATTTTTGTTCAATAAGATACCAAAGTGGATGATTGACTCATTCCATACTAGAAAGAATCGCAGGAAATCTTTTGATAACACAGATTCCTATTTCTCAATGATATCCCACGATCCAGACAATTGGCTGAATCCCGTGAAACCTTTTCATAGAAGTTCATTGATATAACTATTTATAAAGCAAATCGACTTCGATTCTTGAATAATCAATATAACTTCTGCTTCTATTGTAACAAAAGATTCCCTTTTTATGTGGAAAAGGCCCGTATCAATAATTCTGATTTTACGTATGGACAATTCCTCAAAATCTTGTTCATTCGCAAAAAAATCTTTTCTTTTTGCGATGGTCAAAAAAAACATGCTTTTTTGAAGAGAGATACTATTTCACCAATCGAGTTACAGGTATCTAACATATTGATACCTAACGATTTTCCGCAAAGTGGCGACGAAGGGTATAACTTCTACAAATCTTTCCATTTTCCAATTCGATACGATCCATTCGTTCGTGGAGCTATTTACTCGATCGCAGACATTTCTGGAACACCTCTAACAGAGGGACAAATAGTCCATTTTGAAAAAACTTATTGTCAACCTCTTTCAGATATGAATATACCTGATTCAGAAGGGAAGAACTTGTATCAGTATCTCAATTTCAATTCAAACATGGGTTGGATTCACACTCCATGTTCTGAGAAATATTTCCCATCCGAAAAAAGGAAAAAACGGAGTTCTTGTCTACAAAAATGCCTTGAGAAAGGTCAGATGTATAGAACCTTTCAACAAGATAGTGTTTTTTCAACTCTCTCAAAATGGAATCTATTCCAAACATATATACCATGGTTCCTTACCTCGACGGGGTACAAATATCTAAATTTCATATTTTTAGATATTTTTTCAGACCTATTGCCGATACTAAGTAGCAGCCAAAAATTTGTATCCATTTTTCATGATATTATGCATGGGTCAGATATATTATGGCGAATTCGTCAGATTCCATTGTGTCTTCCACAATGGAATCTGATAAGTGAGATTCCGGGTAATTGTTTCCATAATCTTCTTCTGTCCGAAGAAATGACTCATCGAAATAATGAGTTACTATTGATATCGACACATCTGAGATCGCTAAATGTTCAGGAGTTCTTCTATTCAATCCTTTTCCTTCTCCTTGTTGCTGGATATCTCGTTCGTACACATCTTCTCTTTGTTTCTCGAGTCTATAGTGAGTTACAGACAGAGTTCGAAAAGGTAAAATCTTTGATGATTCCATCATACATGATTGAGTTGCGAAAACTTCTGGATAGGTATCCTACATCTGAACTGAATTCTTTCTGGTTAAAGAATCTCTTTCTAGTTGCTCTGGAACAATTAGGAGATTCTCTAGAAGAAATACGGAGTTTTGCTTTTGGTAGCAACATGCTATGGGGTGGTGGTCCCGCTTATGGGGTCAAATCCATACGTTCTAAGAATCAATATTGGAATCTCATCGATCTCATAAGTATTATACCAAATCCCATCAATCGAATCGCTTTTTCGAGAAATACGAGACATCTAAGTCATCCAAGTAAAGCAATCTATTCCTTGATAAGAAAAATAAAAAACGTGAATGGTGATTGGATTGATGATCAAATAGAATCCTGGGTCTCGAACACTGATTCGATTGATGATAAAGAAAAAGAATTCTTGGTTCAGTTTTCTACCTTAACAACAGAAAAAAGGATTGATCAAATTCTATTGAGTCTTACTCATAGTGATCTTTTATCAAAGAATAACTCTGGTTATCAAATAAGTGAACAACCGGGAGCAATTTACTTACGATACTTAGTCGACATTCAAAAAAAGTATCTAATGATTTATGAATTCAATACATCCTGTTTAGTAGAAAGACGTATATTCCTTGCTAATTATCAGACAATTACTTATTCACAAACCTTGTGGGGGGCTAATAGTTTTCATTTCCCATCTCATGGAAAACCCTTTTCGCTCCGCTTAGCCCTACCTCCCCCTAGTAGGGGTATTTTAGTGATAGGTTCTATAGGAACTGGACGATCCTATTTGGTCAAATACTTAGCGACAAACTCCTATGTTCCTTTCATTACAGTATTTCTGAACATGTTCCTGGATAACAAGCCTAAGGGTTTTCTTATTGATGATAGTGACGATATTGATGATAGTGACGATAGTGACGATATCAACCGTGACCTGTATGTTTGATTCTTATTGAAATGATCATCTAATGATGTGAACAGAGAGTGATGTTGGCTCAGATGAGCAAGTTTTGGAGGTTAATGTAACATATATGTAGTTTCTTTTATAACAACTATTTTGTATATAATTTTGAATTAGGAGTTTCTATATAAATATTGAATTATAGTTATGTTTATATAACTTTAATGATACTTTATGTTTCCTTTCGATTAATTGTTTTATATCTTATTGATCTTGTGATGATTTCTGAACAGTATATTAGTATATTAAAATATTTAATTGGGATATTATACAATCTAATAATATTATTTATCATTGTCTTAATTAATAAGAAATATATATAATAATAATAATTTAGCCTAAAAATATAAAAAGTTTAAATATTTAATCAAATCAATTTTTTTTAACGAAGATGATTTTTTCATATAACCTAATAAATAAAAATTTAGTTATTGAACACTTAAACTAAAGAATTAAATATTCTTATGTGAAAAAATAAATAGTAAATAAAAATATTAAAAATGAGTAAAAAATTCATATAAGAAATATTTAATTTATATATGTTATTTAAACATAAATGTACAAAATTTTTGAAAAGAAAAAAAAATATCTTGAATAAGTAAATTAATTTTTTGGTAAGTCACACAATTAGAAAAAAAAATTAAAAAACTAAAGACAAAAAATTATATATATACTATTTATATAAAGAATTTTCTTACCCATTTTTGTTTCCAATTTTAATTTTTAACTATTTTATAACCTTTATCCTTTAAATGACCTTGTTTTAAAACTTTAACTGATTTTTCTTTGATTTGATCGCTTTTTTTTTTATAAAAGTTAGCTATTCTTTTGAACTAAAATAACTATTTATAATAAAAAAATTATATAAAAAAACTAAAATTATCTACAATAAAATTGTAAAAATTATTTATATATACTTTTATAATTATAATAATTTTTTATTATTATAAAAAAAAATGTAAATATTTTTGTTAGTATATATTATATTACCTATAAGTTATAAATACTTTAATAATTTAAATAAAGATGCAATGAGTATGAAAACTGAAATGAATATATATAATGAATTATTAATCAAAACTTAACATTTATAGAATTTAGTACATGTGTATATGCATTAAAGTGTTATTATTTGTGTGATTGTTATATTCATTTCATATAAATAATGGATTTTTTTCTTACATGTACTATTCATAATATTTTTCAAACATGTATATATATACATTAATTAAAGATATACTATTAAATAAAAAATTAGTGATAATAGAATTTCACTTTCTCTCTCACAATACATATATGGGTTAAATATGTTTTTATCCCTTAACTTTTAGTAAAAATTGGAATTAGTCCTTCTTCAAAACTTTGGACTAATTTAGTCCCCAAACTTTAGAAATGTGTGAATTTAGTCCTTTTAACCAAATTTTGTTAACTTTATTTGATGTTTCAAACGCATTTCTAAATTAATACATTTTTAAAGTTTGAGGACTAAATTAGGTCAAAGTTTTGAAGAGGGACTAATTCCAAATTTCACTAAAAGTTAAGGGATAAAAAAACATATTTAATCCTATATATATATATATATATAATAGGTTAAAATTAATTGGTAAATTACATTGATGTACAATAATTGATTGTGTGCCATTAATTTTCTTTGGTCAATATGTCCAACTCATGAGGGAGACTCCTTACTAGGAAGAGATGGTGACAAAATAAAATGGAAAATTTCAACGATTGGAGCAAAAGACTTCCATGAAGGAATCAGATCCAAAGATTCATTGGATTAAATTAATTAGATACCCTCTTAGTTTGACTTACTAACTCTCTTGCGTCCATCTACAGATAGCCTCAAAATCTCCACTTTGGTTCCTAAGAAATGGAGACACTTGCATAGTATTCTAGTTTTATTGAATTAATAGCTACCAACTGAGACAATTTCTGTCATAGTTTCATGGCTTCTGCATCTGGGTGTGGACCATTTGAATTTTCTAGCAAGTACTATCATGTGTCTCAGAATGGAGGTGTGTGCGTGAGGCAGACCAGTTTCTTTGAAGGCAAACCGGTGCTTAATCAGGGAGTTGGTTACTCTGTCATTCTTGGTTTTGGTGCTTTCTTTGCTCTCTTCACTTCTTTCTTGGTTAGTAGTAATCCTCAAATGTGTTTTTTTTTTCTCTTTAGTTAGTTTCATCCTTTGTTAGAAGTAGAACATCAGTGCTATGTTTTTCTCATAATCACTATTTTATACTTTCATAGTTCGTCAAATTGTCATAATAAATTGATTTGGTACAAATATTCTTGTGGATCAGGTGTGGCTGGAGAAGCGTTATGTGGGGTCACGTCACACGTCTGAATGGTTTAACACAGCAGGCAGAAGTGTTAAGACAGGGCTTATTGCTAGTGTTATTGTGTCTCAGGTAATGAACTCAAACAGTCTCGTATTGTGTACTTTGATGAGCCTGAAGTTCAATTTTTCATTTCTCTATTCTTACAATGATTTTTGTGCAGTGGACATGGGCTGCTACAATACTGCAAAGCTCAAATGTTGCATGGGAATATGGAGTTAGTGGACCTTTCTGGTATGCTAGTGGGGCCACCATTCAGGCATGAACCTTATATGATTTTTCCTCAGAATAAAGCAAATTTTTCTTCTGAATTTTCATACATTGGAATATGGAAAAGGAAGCAAAGTTGAAAGTTTATAATGTATTGAAAATGATCAGGTATTGTTGTTTGGAATCATGGCCATAGAGATTAAAAGAAAGGCTCCTCATGCTCATACTGTTTGTGAAATTGTCAAGGCACGGTATGTTACTTGGTTTGGATTTTGGACATTCAGAGTTCTTTAATTTATGTTTTGCTCCATATTCAAGGTTTTGGTCATTATGGTGATAACGAAGTTTCTTTATTTCAGTTGGGGGACTTCTGCACACGTTGTTTTCCTCTTTTTCTGCTTCTTGACGAATATAATTGTGACGGCTATGTTGCTCCTTGGTGGTTCTGCTGTTGTGAATGCATTAACAGGAGTGAACCTTTATGCCGCTAGCTTTCTAATACCACTTGGAGTAATTGTGTATACACTAGCGGGTGGACTGAAAGCCACATTCTTAGCAAGCTATATCCATTCTGTCATAGGTTTCTACTTAATGTTATCATGTTTTACATTTTGCTATATTCATCATATCTTTTGTTGTTAAACTGGGAATTTGTTGGTTTACACTTTTCAGTGCACATTGTTTTGGTGATTTTTGTCTACCTTGTCTACACGGCTAGCAGTGAGCTTGGAAGCCCTTCTGTGGTGTACAATCGCCTACTAGAGGTTGCAAGCAAATCAAGGACATGTCAGGATCCTATATCACACAAAGGGCAATCTTGTGGTCCTGTTGGTGGGAATCACCAAGGTTCTTACCTAACAATGCTGAGTTCAGGTGGCTTGGTGTTTGGGATTATAAACATTGTTGGCAACTTTGGCACTGTGTTTGTTGACAATGTAAGCATCAATTAATAGATGTAAAGATAACATGCCCTCTTTTCTTTCTTGTTATTTGGGTTTTGTTGCTAATGATTCTTTAAATGGTGAAAAATGACTAGGGATACTGGGTGAGTGCCATCGCAGCAAGACCTTCATCAACACACAAAGGCTACTTGTTAGGAGGCTTGGTCTGGTTTGCTGTGCCATTTTCTTTGGCTACATCGTTGGGTTTAGGAGCTCTAGCCCTTGATTTACCAATAAATGAAAGTGAAGCAGGTCGTGGACTTGTTCCCCCTGCTACAGCGGTAGCCCTGATGGGGCAAGGAGGATCTATTCTTCTTCTTACCATGCTTTTTATGTAAGTTACAATCAGCATCCCCATTGGAAATACTTTCAATTTGTCTGGATATTTTGAAATAGCAAACACATTAAGAATTTGCTACAAGGCTTGATACAAAACTATCCAGCCTTCTGTTTAAATTTCTGATGATTTTGAACTTTGATACTCTCATCAGGGCAGTGACTTCTGCTGGTTCATCAGAACTAATTGCAGTCTCATCATTATGCACATATGATATCTACAGAACTTACATAAATCCTCATGCAAGTGGAAAGCAAATCCTCAAGGTGTCAAGAGGTGTTGTTCTAGGCTTCGGGTGTTTGATGGGGTTGCTAGCAGTCATACTGAACATGGCTGGAGTTTCTTTAGGATGGATGTACCTTGCAATGGGAGTTCTGATTGGCTCAGCAGTTCTTCCTATTGCTTTTATGCTTCTATGGAGAAAAGCAAATGCAACAGGAGCCATTCTTGGAACAGTCACAGGTTGTGTTCTGGGAATTATCACATGGCTGTCTGTCACAAAAATACAATATGGCAGGGTAAACCTGGATACAACTGGAAGAAATGCACCAATGCTTGTTGGAAACCTTGTCTCTATACTAACTGGAGGAGTTGTTCATGCTATCTGCAGCATGTTGTGGCCTCAGAACTATGACTGGAGCACCACCAAACAAATCACAGTGGTGGAAAAGGAAAAGACTGATCTGCCAGCAGAAGAGTTTAAAGAAGAAAAGCTAATCAGAGCTAAAGCTTGGGTGGTGAAGTGGGGTATTGGTTTCACTGTTTTGATTGTCATACTTTGGCCTATTCTCTCCCTCCCAGCAGGTAATTTTGAGTTGCATTGCATTAACAAACATTTGAACATGGTTTTCTTTTCTTTCCTAACCACAGTTTCATTTGTGGCTTACCACAGGTGAGTTCAGTAAGGGCTATTTCTATTTCTGGGCAGTGATTGCTATAGCATGGGGTAGTGTTGGGTCTGCTGTGATAATTGTTTTACCAATAATGGAGAGCTGGGAAACCATTAAAAGTGTGATTATGGGGATGTTTACAAATGACAGACTAATGGAAAAGGTGGAAGAGTTAAATTTGAAGTTGCAGACAATTATTCAAGCAATACCAGAAGCAGAGCGACTTTACTTGCTTGAGAAGGGAAAGGCCAAAAAGTTAGAAGAAACC